CCAGAAAAATTTTAAAGATTGAAATAATTTGTGAAAGTGCTCTAATTGCTTCTTAGCAAAAGGAACTACATTCGAATCACAGGCTTCTCATGAATTTCTTCAGCAATGGCTTGATAAGCTTGACCTCCATGCTTGGATTTTGATTTCCAATTTGTAGGTTTACCATGAAGCTTTCAACATGTCTCTTTCATGTGCCATAATTTTTTGCAATGCTCACACCATGATTTTTTTTGCCCTATTTGTCAGTATCAGCCTCTTCTAACACAAGAACCGAGCTCACTTGTTCAATATTAATAGACGATTAGGTATTGCACAACATAATTTTTCTCTCTTCAAGTCTAAATTTGAAAAAAACTTCTCAAATTAAGGGTAGAGGTTTCCTACCGAGGATGTGACCACGAACTTCTTCTAAACTCCCATTAAGACCGGCTAAGAATATGTAGACCCAATCACTTTCCTCTTCTCTAGTGACGAGCATAATCATTTGAATTCTCCAATATGTCATCATGGCATTGATCAAGCCTCTAAAATAATGTTACCAACATATTGTAATACGTCGCAACAGCATGATCCTTTTGTTTTAGATGTCCAAATTGAGCTTTCAACACAAAACTTTAATTCTTTGAGTCTGAATAGAGAGCTTGAACGACCTCCCAAATGTCTTGAGCAGTGGGAAGGAATAGATGTAACTTTCCTATGTTAGGTTTCATGGAGTTGATGAGCCAAGCCTTGACCAAAAAAATTTTATACTGCCATTTTTTCATATTTGAATCACCAACAATAGGTTTTGAAATCTCTCCGGTTAAATACCCAATTTTGCCTCTCTCGTTGATCACCAATTTTATGAATTGAGCCCACTCAAGGTAGATATCACTATGGGATGCGGCGATAAATTTTGAGGATAACACTCAATAGATGAGTGTAGGGAGAGGTTATGTAGGTTCGGAATTACCGGAACCGATCAATGTGGTAGAACTTTTTTGAACTCACATCATCATTTTCGATTTATGCGACATCCTCAGAATCTGAACAACACCACAATCTCAATCTTGTGAGCGAAGCAAAACTCCTTTACGTTGCAATCTCAATCTTTGTTTTCGATCAAGAATGGCATGAAACTCCTGTACGCCGCAATTTGTTCACTTCGATGCGCGACCAGGACATAACTCCTTTACGCCACAATGCGGATGGCTTTTTTCGATCAATAACAGCGCGGAACTCCTATACATTGTTCAAAGAAGAAAATGAGATAATGAAAACGCATGAGCAATCGTCGGTCTAGAACCCTCAGCAACTACGGATGTTGTGGAGCGTGAGGAAAGACCAAAGTTTTGTCAATCTAAAACTCCAGCTAGTCGATGGTTCTAGGTAGAAGCGGAGCGAAAGAGGAGAAAGACCGGAGTTTTGGTAGTCTTTGTACGTCGTGATCCAGTAGTCACCTTCCCAGCAATACATTGTGAATATCCTAATGCGAAGGAGTCACATGGAAATGTGGTTAAGGATAAGTCGTCTGCACTGATACCATATAGTTTTTTGCAGGAGAAAAATAATTATTTCACTTCAATTTCATATTAAGAGATCACATGATAAATAAAAGGGGATAGCTCCTTACATTAAGAAAATTATAAATCCCCATGATAAAAAGGAAACGAGAATTAGAGTACACCAATAATACAAGCTCTAATAAAAGAAAATAATAAAAGATAATAAAATTAAAACTTCCTAAATAATTTCAACAATGTCATTATAAGTTATTGAAGCATATAAAGTTAGTTCTTTATTTTTTTTTATAGATATATGTGCAAATATGAGCTTTTTTAAAATAATAATTCCAATTCTTATTGGTAATTGCTTAATGCAATAAACATGTCATTATTTTGATTATAAAATAACTTGTTAGGAAGATTTACATGCATACCACTCAATTCCTATGTATTTACGTAATCTCACACCTAAACTTAAATTATTACATACATTTACCTATACATGAAAATGGATATTTTACTTCTAAAAGCTAAAAAAATGATATTTTTTATGTGATATGAAATATTTGGGTGGTATAAATGTAAAAAGTTTGAGTCTTTGATATCTAAATACATAGGAATTGTGTGGTACGTATGTAAATGCCCCAATTTTTTAAGACACTCCGATAAGATAATTAATTTTATATATTAATTTAAATAATAATTATGAATTTCAATATAATTAAAATCCAATTTTGGCTAAAATAAAATAAAAACAAAAATATTTTTTATTATAATATTTATTAAAATTATTAATTTATTTAAATATTTAAAATTAATATAAAGTTGATTATGTTTTCTAAATTTTGTTTGCTAAATCAATATTTTGGAACAAGTTAGAAAAACTTTGAGGATGCTTCCTAAATTTGAGGAAACAAAATGCAACGATTTCTTAATCAACAAAAAAAATAAGTAAATCAGTTCAGCCAAACATGTTTTCAGCACTTTTCATACCACTGAAGAAAAAAAAAAAAAAAGCCCTACGCTTTTAAAGTTCTGGTGAGAGAACTTAGCAAGCAATCTGATCGCTTAAAACATGCATTAGCTAAGAAACCAAAAGATAGACTGGAAGACATGAAGAATTGCGGCAAAGAGCTTTGGAACCACTTTCCATGGATGGTGGCAAAAGCTAACAGAAAAAAACAGAAACATGGTGGATCTTCAAAGAATGAAGTTTACATTGAGAAAAATAACTGCATACCTCAAGCATGTCTTTGAAATTACCAAAGGAAGCTGAACATCATATGCACCTACTATTGAAAGGCATCTAAACTGGCTGCAGTGTTTAAAATTACAAAAAGCGCCTCTACACAATCACAGAAAAAATCGTGTCGAGGCATATGCAGTCACCAGCAGCCACCTGCTCCTCCTGCTGCCAAGAAAGTCGGAAAAATTGGTGGGAAGGAGCAGTAAGCAGTTCTCTTAGTACGTACACATTTTGTATTTTCTTATGTATGTTGTACAAAGAAATTGCAACTGAAACTGCAGGTACTGCATGCTTTGTAGCAAAGAATGGTAGGTTGGCCTGTAGTCCTGTATTTACAGTACTATACCCTTGTAATTATCATGTTATGATCTTATTGTCTTTTTTCATATATTTAAAAATTAAGATACTAGTATATGTTTTTCTACCCACTTTCTTTTACAACGTAATTTTCAAATTGTGAGGTTTACACCTCAGATAGCCTTAAGGCTACACCTTCTCGCGCGATTTGAAAAATGCCTCAATCCAATTGCACGATTTTATACATTTACTTGCCAAATTATTTAAGAAGAAAATAGTATGATTATTGAAATTAAGTCTAATTCGGGCTTATAAGACCTATTTATAAAAATAACATGACCTAAATTATTACTTCGTAACCCCTACCTAAATTGCATAATGAAGTGCAGCCCACTTGACCTAATGTTTGGGTGTTTTGTTTCCAACCATACCATCTTGAGTTCAACGCCTAACACAAAAGGAGTGCAAGCTGAGCAAAATTTGGCAAAAAAAATTAAAAAAGAGGATGTAGAACTTGGAAGAAGGAATTTTACATAAAACAAAAAACACTAAATGTCTCCACATCTCTTTGAAACTAGCAGAGGGAAGCATCACGTGCATCGGCTCTTGGAAGAGTTTCTTGCTAGACTAGTTCGCCAAAAGAAGAGAAAAAGTTGATTTTCACAACTAAATCTAAATGGTACTGTAAAGGCTATTTGTAGGAAGAGTATGACCCAAACTAGTAGCAAATAGCCCTTACACTGATTGGATAATGATAAATGAATTCTAAAAAGGAAAAGTCACAAATACCCAAAAAAATAAAGTAAGCAAACAATATCATAGGTTCTATATGTTTCATCTAACCATAGATGTGGTGTGATATGGATGATTAATAACTATATCTCCATCGCCAACAATAAGAGTTTTGTGATTAATTGAATAGATGTGGTGTGATATGGATTATTAATAACTATATGAGCTCCATCACCAACAATAAGAGTTTTGTGATTAATTGATACTTCAATTTTTCTTCCCATATCCAATTATTTCCATGGCCGCACATTATAAACTTCAGTTAACTAAGTAAATGATGCATCGGTTTGCAACATTTGCATCATCCAAACACTTCAGGCTAAAAAACTGTCACCTAACTAAGCAAACAAAGAAATTTTATATCGTAACTCTTATATGATGGGGTACATTATTAAGCTAAAAGCAACAAACTAGCAATGTCAGGTTGTTCGAGGAATTGGGCATCGTTCACAAATTCATTAATAATCGGTTTGAAACATGGTAAATTGATTGTTCAATTTCTATTCAACAATAAAAAATATAAAGATAAAAATAAACGAAAAAGTGCACACAAAATGATAGCTATATTGACACTTCGCAAATCTTAAGATGGTATTCCATAAATTCAAGTACATATATTGTTATTTGTGAATAAATTTTTGTATCAATTTAAATTTCACAATTTATTTTTAAATCAACCTAAGAGCCAAGCTATTCAAGCATATTTTGTAACCAAGTAAACTTTAACTTGGCTCAAAAACAACCCAACAAATAAAATAGGCAGCTAATTCAGTTTCAATTTATAACAAAGTTTGTCTGATCAATATACCAGAGAAAATAAATCAAAAGCATTAGTTTGATGTCCAATATATCGAATTGACTGAAGCCAATTCATATATGCTTTACCTAACAGGTACCTAAAATATATGGAACTTGCAACACCATACTAATTCCCTAAATCTTTAGACCTACAGCTAATGTTTGTAAACCTTTCGAACCTACATGTAAATTAAAAGTTAACCTTTCCAATAAAAAAACCGTATATTATATCAGCTTTGCTTTCCAGGAATAAAAATAGATTTCCTAAAGTCCTCATAGAATTCACAAAAATGAAGTACGATAAGCTAGGATAGAAATAACACTGGGAGCAAAGCAAAATTTTGATGGTTCCTAATGAAAACAAAGGATGTTTTTTTACCAACCTCATTATTTTCAGAAGCTGGAGAGAAGGGAGTCCATTTGACCGCCACAACTGAATATCTCTGCTGATACCTTTTATATTGGGCAAGATAATCTTCTGCTCCTTCGTGTAAGTCAAATAATCACCAGTATTTGTGGGGAAAGAGCAATCTGTGTCTAGCTGTATTAATTCACTCAGGCTGAAAATGCAGCGCTCTAGTGCTATATAAACAAAGTCCCGGTCTTGCTCTACTCCATACCACCGAACAATATTTGGATGCCGATCAGAAGCAATAAGATTCTGAATTTCTTTAAAAGCTATGTCATGATGAGCACGCAAAAGTCGCTTGACAGCAACTACACGACCATCATGGATCCCTTCAAAGACAACCGTGCCATTGCTTCCTCGACCAATTTCAGTATTTGACAGAAAAAGCTTGCCAACCCATCTCCCATCACCAGTACCGTTGCATCTTAAAAGGCTCATCAGGTTTTTATCACAGTTTTGGAAGGTAGAAGGCTCATTGGTTTCAGTGTTATGCTTTCCAGACGCAACTATGTTGTCATGATTGGTTGTAACTGCACTACTTTTCATGTTGACAGCTTTCCGAGTTTTTCTCTTCTTAGGACTGAGTGAAGGTTTTGCTTTATTACTCAATTTCCTATCAGATTTGATCGTTCTTCTTGCTTTCCAAAAATATATGACAGGTACGAGAACTATGGGCACGACTATAAAAAACAGAACACCACAGAATGTTTTAAGGAGCGTGACCTTAAGGTTCCACTGATTGTCATGAGCTCTATCCGATTTCAAATCATCAGCAAAAATTAGAGAATCATCTGATATACCTAAAACCTTTTCAAATGGGCCATTTGTCAAACGATTCAACCGAGGTTGTAAGCTTACAACTTCATAAGACACTTTACTTTCAAAAGGTTTAAACATAACACAGTTTCCATACGAACATTCATTTGCATCTTTAGATGAGTCACCCGAAGCAAGAAAATGAAGGTTTTCAGACCTTTGTAGATTCTGGTCACCACCTGTAGTTTCATGTAGAATATTAGGCACGCCAATTGATTTTTTATAGATGTTTTGTGCATCCGCAGAAAAATTGTTCTGGAAATCGAATGCTGTAGGCAGCATTGGAACTCCAGAACCTGCCGTTAATGCATTATTCACCTTGCGCAGGAAATACACTGGAATATCCTTCTGAAATGGGGATACCAATTTAAGGTCATCAACTGCCTTTGTGGATTCCACATTTTTAATATATGTGGCGCTTATACGAGATTCCATCATATTCCACTGGGGTTTTCCAAGAACAGAAGAGTTCAAATAATAATCTGTTCTAACCATGATAATGTAATTTCTAGCCTTTTTGCCCATCTCCAGCTGAGACGAAACTAGTTTCTTTCCAAACTTTGGAGAAGAAATGGCAGGACGATTAGTGGGAGTTTGGTCTTTGTGCAGTTGCTCTCCAGTATCAGCATCGAGAAGGTATATAGTAGCCATTTTTGAACCAATAGTTATCTCAGGACCACGTATCTCTGGTGTATTGTGCACATACTCCTCAATTGTCAAGTCAAGTTCCTATATCATAGAAAAGGACACAAAAGACTGCAATTAACTGAGGCCATGATTAAAATAAATGCTTTTAAACTGTATAAAAAACATACCCTGAACCCACTACCCATGCAATACTCATAAAGTTTCCAATCTTCACCAGAGCATAAAAAACACCCTCTTTCATCAATTTCTGAAATAGCCTGCTCTGAATATGAGAGTGCAGAACCCGTCTGAAATGACCACTGTATCCCAGATTTGCAGTTCACTGATAAAATGGTTCCATCCAGTGATGCAAGAAGAAATCTACCAGGCTCGCTGTTTAAAAAAATATATAGTGCCATGTTATGGACAGTAAAATACTACCATAAAGAAAAAAATACTAAATAAATATGTACTTCCTGATACAATTTTATGCCGCTGCTGGCATGCCTGCACCCCAGCAGCCTGCACCCACTTAGAAGGATAAGAGAGCCGACGGGAGCGGAAGAGGCGAGCCAGTCCAAGTTGGACAGATCTGAACCAACCGGACCCAGCAGCACCGATAATTATAAGGTCGAGCCAGCCGACCAAGCATAGAGGGGCGGGATACCTAAGAGAGGCTGAGCACGATTTCAGTGCCCGGGTGGGGTCCACATAGCCGCTAATCATGTACAATTAGAGCTATTAACGATTTGATTTCAAGGCGAGCTGGGATCGGCTTGCATAGATTTAGTGCAGCTTGAAATCGGCTTGTGCTCATTATATTACATTTCAAGCCGACCCGGCTCGAAATGGAATTGATCTCGATCCAGCTCGAAATCGAAACGTTTTGGCTCAAAATGAATTATTTGGATCAGCTTCAGCTCGAAATCGGCTCAATATGGCTCAAAATTAAAACTTACTGGCTCAAATTGAGTTATCTGGATCTGTTCCAGCTCGAAATCGGCTCAAAATTAGCTCGTAACTCCTTATATTTAGATTTACTCAGCATTACATATATAATTTTGTAAATATGAGCCCATCTCAAGTCGGTTAGAGCCGACCCAAGTATGGCTCAAAAAAAAATCGATCCAAATTTTTGGATCATAGCTTGGCCCGTTTATTTCGATTTAATCTTGATCGAAGCCAAATTTCAAATCGATTTTCGAGCGATTAACGACCTTCGAGCTAAATTCAAACCTCTACGTATAGGAGGGGAATCAAGGGGGGTTTTGGGCATAAAGTTTGAAAGGGGGCCTTGGAGAGTATTTATGAGAGCTAATTGTCAAGGGTTTGTTTTTATGTTTTGTTTGGGCTGTAGTTTTTCTTTTATCCTAGTGTTCCTAGCAGCGTCTAGGGTTTATGGATAGGTTGTCTACTCTCGAATAATAAATCAATGTTGTTTCTTGTTTGCTTTCGTTTGTATTATTAAAATCAGCCCTCATTTGAGTTCCCACAACTCTATCGCAATTTATTCATTGTTTTTTCGTTGTTTTTGGTTCTGAATAATAAGAAAGTAGTATCGGAACGAGATATTGGAGGAGTGGCAGCAAAGAAAGTGGTTTTGTTCGAAGAAAAAGTAGGGCAATCAGATCGGGAAAAGGAGGAAAAGTTCGCCACCATAAAGGATAGGTTTTCTTCCATAGAGAACCAAATGGAAGATCGATTCAGCAGCATGGAAGAAATGATAAAGAGTCTCACGGAGATACAATCGAATGCACCAACGACAGCTTAAATTACAAACCCTAACCAAGGGTTAATCAGAGAATCCCTGACCAAATTGAAAGGAAATGGGATCGAACGAGAGGGCAATGAAGTTAAAAACATCTATCACCAAGAGCTCCCTCCTAGGACTCCGAGAGGTGGTGGAAACTTATGAGGGGAATAGGCCAAAAATTGAAGGGGTACCGCAAGGGACACAGAGAAGCACAACGAAGGAAGGAGAGAAGCGGGGGAAAGGTATGGCTATGGCTGAAGGAGCCCTAGACAAATGGGGAAGTGTTTAAGAGAGAGAAAGTTGGGGTGGCGATGCGAGGGTAGGGAAACTGGAGATGTCGATCTTCGAAAGAAAAAATGTGTATGGGTGAGTGTATCAGGTGGAGCGATACTTTACAGTAAACGGGTTACCTGAGAAAGAGAAGCTCATAACGGCAGGACAATGTTTGGAGAGAAATGCCCTGACATGGTTTAAAGATTGCCTATTAAAACGTTTCCAAGCCATCTGGATGGAGGCGAGGTACTCGATACATTCGTGGGAGGGCTTTAAGGATTGCCCATTACAATGTTTCCAAGCCATCTGGGAAGAAGACCTACATGAATAATTATATTGCTCTGGTTCAAGAGGGAACGAATACATAATACCAGGAGAAGTTCAAGCTCTTATTGGAGCAGTTGAGGGGTAATTCTGCAGCAGGACTAAAGGGGAACTTCTTGAAGGGCTTGAAGCCTGACATCCGAGTAGCCCTTCAAACTTTGAAACCGCAAGGATTGAGGGAGATATGATGGAGCTTCCCGGATGATGGAAGATTAGAAACAGATGAAAAAGACCAGCAAAGGCAGCACCGCAGGAAATTCTACAAGTGTCGACGATCATGACACTGAGGACCCAAATGATGTCATTTCGAAATGACACACTAAGGGAGAAAAATGTGAAGACCATTTTGGGGGAAATTTAAAGTGCCTTGTCAATGCAAAAGTGTAAGATAAAAGAGCGAAACAATTATGTTTTTGATGTGCCGAGAAATGTCTCAGGGCACCATTGCAAGGAGCACACGGTACAAGTCCTTGTAGTTCATGAGAAAGGGGAAACAAATAGTGAGGAGTCGGAGTAAGACATGGTGAAGGAAGAGGAGCATTTGCACTTAGATCTTACAGAGGTGTCCCTCAATTTAGTGGTGGGACTTACTCCGAATCACACTATTAAGGTGAGGAGATGGATTGGGGACAGCCGATTGTAGTGTTGGTGCATAGTGGAGCCACACATAATTTCATCTCAAATGAAGTTGTGGATCAGCTAAGGTTGGAGCTAGTAGATTTAAGGAGTTGTGATGTCATGATGGGGACAGTGAAGGTAGAGAAAAGTCGGGGAGTTTGCAAGGGAGTAAATCTAACACTATCAGGCCTACAATTGATAGAGGACTTACTTTCCCTGGACTTCAACAGCACTGATGTGATTATGGGGATGAAGTGGTTGCAACGGGAAAACGAAAGTGGATTGGAAATCCTTTAAGATGGAGTTCAAGGTGGAGGGTAGGAAAGTGTGAGAGATGTTATCTTATCCAGAAACATGGTCAAGACAATACGGGGAGCAAGGTTAGGCTATTTGGTGAAATTGCAGAGCGTAGAGGAGATCTTGGATCCCAACTTAGAGGAGTTCCCCAAGGGATTTTAGCAGCTCCCACAGCAGTTTCCTAATGTAAATCAGCAGCTGAGCAGATTATCACCCACGAAGGAGCGTGAGCATGTCATTAACCTAAATGAAGGTATCCATCCTATCAATGTTGGACCGTACCAATATCCTTAGATTCAAAAGGACAAGAAAGAAAAGTTGATCCAAGGGATCCTCAAAACGGGAATTATTAGGCCCAATGTGAGCTCCTTTTCTAGTCCGGTCATGTTGGTGAATAAAAAAGATGATAGCTTGAGATTTTGTGACTATTGGGCTTTGAACAAAAACACTGTGTTTGATAAGTTTCTTCTCTCTGTGATTGATGAGCTATTGTATGAGCTTTATGGGGCAATCATCTTCTCAAAAATTAATCTCAAGTCAAGACACAACTAGATCAAGATTAATCCAATAGATGTGCACAAGACAGCGTTCAAAACACAAGGACATTACAAGTTTTTCGTAAGGTCTTTACAAGTTTTTAGTAATGCCATTTGGCCTCAAAAACACCGCGCCCACATTTCAATCCCTTATAAATAGGGTATTTCGGCCTTAACTTAGAAAATTCGTACTAGTCTTCTACGATGACATTTTTATATATAGTCATACAGAGACAGTGCATGTGGGGCACCTAAGGACAGCCTTGAAAACCTTGAGAGAGCACCATTTGTGAGGCCAAGAATTTGTGAATAGCAAAGGTTATATATTCGGTTGAGCTCACCAAATAATACACCCTTGTAAAGCTCATCTGCCAGATCACTCAACGAAAAAAAAAAGGTACTTGATAATTATCAATCCCTAGAAATGCTATCAATTCATCCAAAAAAAATCACTTCCAATGCATTCATCCATTAATGAAGATAAATTATTCTTCATCAAGGTCACCCGAGACAAAGTGGATGCCCAATTATTAGACCAAAAGGCCAGGGTTGTTACCTTTGTTCACATGCATCTAGCCTTGATCGATCAATCAAAGCCACATGAAAGGATATAATCATAGTTAACCTAGGTAGTTCTTGCTTTAACAAAATAGCAAGGCTAATTACAGCTATGATCGACTAATATTGCATGCAAGCATCTTTTGTCAATCAGCCCAGTATCCATGCATACAACCTTCTTAACAAAAGTAAAAGCAATTGCATAATCTTTGTTCAACCAACGTGGTAATGTTTGATGGTGGCGCTTGACAGTCAAGCAAGTGAAGGTAACTTCATGGGCCCGTGTGACTCATATGTGGCTTATGCCACATTAGTGATTTGATGATAAAAATGCCTAGTATCATGTCATCTAATGATTTATTAAGGGATTCTATGGATTACATAGCTGTAGTTAAACAATGAATAAGATAAATTATTCCACTAGGTAATTAGAACCTTTGCAACTTGAACACGAGATAGAAATGGTAAATAAAAATGATTCAATAAAGTAACAAGAAGATTCCGGGGAGACATCTTAACCCATTCTAATGATTTGAAGGTTAGCGATTCACATATACAATATCATCCTCTCTATTATGTATTTACATTGGCTTATAGATCATATTGAGACCAAAGTGAAAACTTCTAAGAGGAAAAAGATGTGCTCACCTTTAAATCTCATGAAATGAAATTATTGTGATATATTTCTTTCAATCTCTAGTAGTTACCATTGTATATCTATTAATCATTTTGGATCAACTGAATAAATTTTGTACAGTTAGTGAAAATCTTAGCGACCACCAAAATATTGGGCCGCTTTGGAAGATGTTCACTATAAAGTTACCAAACATAGGCATATGTGGTGACCTTTTCCATGAGTAACGTAAGGGTACATTTCCCTTAAAGAGATTGTAAGGGTATGGATTCTCTTAAGTAAGAGAGTGTGAGGGTATGTTTTCTCTCAAAGGAAGAGATTTTGAGGGTTTCTCCACACACAGGTTTCGAAATAATTGACTCAAAACGAGGGAAACCTACATGCAAATTGTTCTTAGGCGTGAAAATATCACAGGAGTCACCTACTCTTAAACCTTACTCAACCTAACAGAAAAAAAATAAGACCCGCATAAATCAAAAACAAAAAGAACCACTCGGCCAAAAAAAAATATATTGAATTAAACACCGCTGGTTATAGATTCTGCATCAAAAATTAAACCATGTAGACCAACAGTCATAGGCTTGCGAAATATATAAGATAGCAATACTCCCTTAATCTGAGACAAACGATATGGACATTATTCATTACTTGAAAGGGTGAATAGCGGAATCAAATTCTTCTGGAAAACAACAGCACCTTAAACCACAAAATGAAGCAGACAATACAGACAATTGGTGGCCCCCTGATTGCCCACTAATCTAGAAATTTTCTCTCCATTCAAAAGGGACAAATACATGCCATATAGTTGAAAATTTTCCGCTCAACCTTCATAAAACAAAATATAAGAAAATACATACAACAATAGCTCACCGAAAGAGGAATCATCGAAGGCGTTTATTACTTTAAATCCATACAGAACCTTGAATCCAAATTTCCATTACTTACTTCATGGAAGAACAAATAGAAGATACGGTAGCTGACGAAGAGTCAAGCACGAAATCATCAAAACTTCGCAAGGAAGCGAGTTTACTGGAGCCCTTTCTGACCGCAGCTGGAAGTGAATGATCGTGAATGAGCAGGTCCTTTGATGTAGGCGATACTTTGTTTGTCAGATTCGTCGCAGAGATCACGAACACGGGAAGGTAGAGAAGTAAGAATACGGTAACATAAAGCGGCTTCATCGACATAGTTGAAGAAGAGGGCTGCAGGTATTCGTCGATCTGGAGAAAAACCTTAGGAAGAAAAGAGAGATCGACGTATCGTTGAGATGGAGAGAATCCAATTGGATTAGAGAAGTGTAATTTTGGGAAAGTTACATGTTTGTCTGCTCCACCATGCCGCGCGGCGTTCCGCCAGGTTGACAAAAATTTACGGGAATTTTCATAGCACGGAATTCTCATCTATTACATGTCTTACCTAAGATCTCATATGTACATATATGTTGGTGCTTTAAATTTAAGCAAGAGAAGATTTATTTCATCTTTAAAAAAATATTAATAGTAATATTTTTGATGTGATTTTAAAGATTTAAGTGCTATATGCATATATAAGAAATTTTAAGTGTGAGATATGAAATACATGAGAATTGTGTGCTCTGAATGTAAATGCCCTAAAAATTCATTAGAGTTGGGTGCGTGTTTTGAAGTGTTAGTGTATTGGCATAAAGTATAACTTTGTGATAGTAATTATTTGTTATCACACTATAACCATTTTTCTTAATATTGTGCATTATGGTTTTTTTTTTATTATTATTTGAAAGTGTCTATTTTATTTTGCTTTTGTGTTTTTTTTTTTTTTTCTAAATGTGTTCTTTGAATTTGATATTAGAGTTGTGCTAGGATATTTTCATTTTATGTAACCTTAAGAATCAAATTTTAATTTAAAAGCCATGTAGGACTAAGTAATAGCCATGTAAATCATTAATTGATTATTAAAATACTATGAAGAGACTAGTCTCGTAGGTCAATTATTAGTGGAAATTCTTTGATACGATTTTGGTATATATACTTGGCAGTAAATCCTTTGATGAGTTATGAGTGGGTAGTAAGTATTGGATGTTTTTATACCAAATTTTTTATGTTCATTTTCTCATTTATAACTAATATTAAGTCTTGGTTCTATTATATTAATTTCCTTCATTTTTAGCTACTAACAAGTACCATATTTTGGCACCATGACATCCCTCCACTATTTTCTCACTGTGCCAAAATTCTGGTGTTTCTTTTGAAAGTTGGGAGGAGCAGCTTCATCCGTTGAAGCCTATCTCCAAAACCATCTTTAGTTTATGTTGTAAACATTTTTTAGTGTTGGGGCCTCTTCTTCTTAGCCTTCTACCTCCTACTCCCAGCCTCATCCCTCTTCTAGCTTGGCTTCTGTGTCTGAGAGATTGGGGGGGCTAGAAGATGACATCTCAATTATTCAGACCTATATTTATGATATAGCTGATCACATGGGTCATTTAGATTGGCAGAATAAATGCCAAAAAGATCTGATGTAAGTTTCCAAGCTGCTCAACTGGAGATGTATAAGAGGAACCAATGGATCAAAGGGGACAACTTAGTGGATTTCCCTGTATATCCACCCTATCCGCCCTACGAGCACACTTAGTCGATGGTTAAAGACTCGGAGGAGGAGGAGGAGGAATAAGAAGAAGATAATGATGAAGAAGATGAGGATGATGATGAGTAGGATGACGACAAGGATAAGGAGTAGTTTTTTTTTTTTATTTTTTATGTGGATGTACTAGACTTTATTTTCTTGCTACTGCTACTGATGTACTTTTTCATTTAATCTGACTGTATTATTGTGGAACTTCTTGTTATTTCCCTGTTGAACTATTTAGACTTTCTAGTGTAGCTTCATGTGTATTCATGTTTAGTTTGGATTTAATTATTATTGCATATATGATCTTTCCAGTTTATATATGTTAATCTTGATTATAGACACATATGGTAGAAAGTGTTTTTGTATTGTTTTCTCCCCATTTATTTTCATGTTTTTTAATTTTTATATATGTTAAAAATCAATTTTTAGGGGAGAAAAATCTTTTAAAATCTTAAATGTATTTGTCCTTAGTAACCTGAATTTGAATTATCATGATTTAGTAGATTTAAGGAGTTGGGATTAAAATTGAAACTTCCACAATATTGAGAAGGGAAAGACATAGCTTACTTATTTTAAACTTTATGTAAATGAGACTTGACTTGTGTTAATCTAATTTGTAATTCAACATGTAGAAAAATGAATTAGTTATTTATTTGTTGAAAAAAGTTATATACTTGTTGAATTAGCTATATTTAGACATATAAGTTGAGCCTCCATAAAATTATATTTTCAACTTATACTTTTAAAATTTTTGAAAAGAAATTAATAAGTGAAGGAGTGTGGAGTGTTTTATTTTCAAGGGATGATGGTAAAATTTAAAACTAGTAAAAGGCATATCTAGATATAGTGATCCTTAAAAAGTTATGCTAAGGATTGAAATCTACATCAAGAAAAGAGATTAAAAAGAATATATAAAGTGAGGAGAAGCCCCATCAAAAATTTGTTTCACTAGATTCTTTTTAAATTTAAAACTTCACTACACTTATAAGCTTACTAATATCTAGGATGTATAACTAAATTCTTTTAAAAATGAGAGTTTAAATTCTCTTTTTCCACCACTAAGTTCAATGAGTGTTTATTTCTTTTTGAAGTTATAAGGAAAGCAGGTTTTCTTAATTGAATGCAAGGATTCTTGTACCCTAGGGCTAGGCTTATTTGCTAGAGTTATCATATTCTTACACTATGAAATTCCTAATGCATAATTATTGATAGTTTTTATGAAACATTCCTGCAAATTAAATAATTTTATATTTAAATTCTAGTGTTACTTGAGGGCAAGTAACCTTTAAGATTGGGGGATTTTAATGCGTAGAAAAGAATGTTTTTATTCCCTACTATTTTTTTACATTTTTATGGATGAAATTACACTTTAAAGATAGATATTTTATGATTTTCTTGCAGGTACAACAAGTATTAGAAGTGGAGCAAATTAGAGGATACATTGAGCAAAGTGGTGGGGATTGGAGCTAAGGAATCTATATGAGACTGACCTCTAGATGCCAGCCCCTTAGGCACCTAAGAGCCAGTCCTAGCCCTGGAAACCCAAGAGCATGGCACTTAAGTTCCAGCCATTGAACGTCAAGGCTCCACCCTACTTGTGATTAGGCTCCCATATTGTTCCTGAAAAATAAAGAGATAGGCGCTTAGGCGCCAACAACCTCTTAGGGCAGTTTTCAGCAGTTCATGCGCACGATATGAAGAGTTATCAAATAAATTGAGGCATTTATTATGTTATGATTTAAAGTTTAAAGAGGAGGAATAGTAGAATAAGGGAAGGGAGGTTGTAGGTTTGCTGTAGGAAAGAGTAGAGATAGGTTTTACTTAGTCGTTTGGTGAGGATTTGAGTTGTATTGTGAGGAGAGTATTCAGGAGAGCAGCAAGGGATTAGGAGATCTTTGGGGGAGCATTCTCAGAGGATTGTAAAGGAAAGAAAGCTAAGTATTGTGTACTTTTACTATTGAATTTATGTAAACATTGTTATTTAGTGGATTGTTTTGTTTCCAATGATGCTTTGTGGTGTGTTCTTCATGTTTTATGAGTAGTTCTCTTTTACTTTTCCTTATGAAGGTTGAGTAGGATGTGTAAGAGTGCATAGTGTTTCTAAAATTAGTTATTAAAATTTAATTTGATGAGCAACCTTCTGAATTTCATTTACTTTTCATTATGGCCAAGTGAATCATTAAAATGTGTTGTGATACATAATGGCTCGAGAGAACTATGGAGGAATCAACTAAGTTAGTCACATTATTCTATAGAGTATGGTACAAGTACTTTCTAGGGAAATGGAAATGTTAGGGAAATAGTCTTTGATGAGTTCAAGTTTGGATTTAAATAATTAAAGCCAATTTAACAAAACTTTTTGATGCACTCAAAAGAGGGTAAAAAAGAGATTTGCTTCTATTGTCATTTGCTACATTTACAGTTGACACTTTACATTTTTTACACTCCACTTATATCACTGCAAGGGAAGGTAACTCTATAACTTGATAATCACCAATCTAATTCGGATAAGTAAGATTTCTGTAGGATTTAACCTTCAAAACTAGATAGTAATTTAATAGGAGTAGTTTGTAGAACCTTTACCTAATTTCAATTCCGGGATAAAAACTAAATCTAGTAGGTTAAAACTTCTCATAACTGTAATTCCCTCGTTCCCTGTGGGATCGATATTCCAAACTCAAAATTAAATATTACTAGTATGACACGTTCACTTGCATGAGACCCCAGTGTATGAGTGTTTCGGTTAATTTTTTTATTTAAAAATAATTTTTGTAAATTTAATTTAATATAAGAGGTATATAATTTTTGTATTTTGAAAATAATGGTGTTTTAATTTTTAGAAAATGAGACTGAATGGATCTCATTCATCTAATAATTTACATAATTGATCTTGATACTACAAATACTACACGCTTTCGAAAGATAAGTGTATACTTTGGTGATGGACCAAATCGTGCAAACTAAGAGATTTGTGACATCTTTTTGGCTTGCGAACCTTTTATGTATGGTAGACAAGTTTCCCTACCTGATACAAAGATTAAATAAGGTTTGTTTTACCTGGGATCCAAGTTCTCTATAGAGACAAGCCCCTATAGTTAATTACATCTCAAATGATCAAAGTCATTCAAGAAAACTCTTGATAATGACCAGAGGTACTAATCTTAAAGAATTTAAGGTTTCGTTTTTCATGGTAGGACACATAATATCAAGTGGGAAAGGACCAACTGTGAACAATTTGTTTAGGATTCCGAAGGAAGTAAAAGGTATGAAACGTCACATATACTGAGAGGTGACGAGCTACATTGGGAAGGAAAGCTCAAAGACTCACATCCAATCCAAGAGGTAGCAAAGAGAACTGAATGCCTTACTCCATTTATTGTGGTCTTTTACCAATCTTGAATTGCTGAGAATTTTACATTAAGAAGGAAAGCACAGAGACTCACATCCAACCTAAGAGGTGACAAGCTACATTGGGAAGGAAAGCTCAGGGACTAACATCCAACCCAAAAAGTAGCAAAGAGAATCAGATACCTTACTTTATTTAAGCTAGTTTTATACTGATCTAAAAGTGGTAAGAATGTCACATTAGGAAGAAAAGCACGGAGACTCACATCTAACTTAAGACGTGATGAGCTACATTGGGAATAAAAGCTCAGACACTCACATCCAACCTAAGAGGTAGCGAAGAGAATCAGATGCCTTACTCCATTTAAGGTGCTCTTATACCGATCTCAAAGTGCTGAGAATGTCACATAAGGAAAGAAAGCACAGGGATTCAAATCCAACCTAA